GAGGAAGTCTCACGCGAGAGCGCGATGCGTACATGAACTGTGAGGAAGTCCAGCGCGAGAGGGCGATTTGGGAATAAATTGTCAAGAAATATCAAGCGAGAGCCGTTGATGTTGTAACTCGGGGGCCAGGGGCCCAGTTGCCCAGTTTGAGGAGGAAGACTTTCCATGACAAAAAACAGGGTGCGAGCCCCGGGGGAAGCAATTCAATTGAAAAACACAGTGGTCACCGAAGGGGGGGATCAACAATAAATATTCTTCAGTTCAACAAAATCGCGGCCTGGACAGCTATCACAGCTATCGGATGCTAGTCGCCTTACAATTGTTAGTATGCTGGCGTTCATGGAAATATCATGGGCGTCTTCTGTAAATCGCCCGACAGGAACATCAAAACTGCAAGCTTCACAACACTGTTCGAAATACATCCGTTTGGCGCCCTCAGACAGAGACGGACAGTTCGTGAGCCGCGCATTCATGCACTAACAGGCTAGTCGACCCAAACGGCGATTCCAGACCATCAGGACGCGGGGCGGCCCGGGTGGCTCAGATGTCAGCGCCCGAGCCCACATCGCCGCATCTGTTGTGCAAACAGAAAGTTCCAAGGAGAACTGCACATTGCCATTGCGCCATCAATCGCGCCGAAAAGTGCGCCCTAGGCTGCGCCCTAGGCTGCGCCCTAAGCTGCACAGACACCCTGCAAGCCACCAACCGTCCGTTGCCTCATTGGGTGAACCATGGCGCATTGGGTTGTGACATAGGTTGCGCAAGGCATCCCGCAAGCCACCGAATCGTCCGTTGGCCGAGCGGGTGAACCATTGGGCCGTGCGCTGCGCCATCGTTTGCGCCAGGCACCCCGCAAACCGCCAAACCCTCAGTTGACCCAGCGGGTGCATGCTACTTTCCCCAAACGGTGCTTGCACTTAGCGTTATCACATGACTTACCCAAGTAGTTGGATGGGTATGTCAGGGCTTCGCCTGGTGCCCAGCTGGGGGCCGCCCAGTGGCCGCCTCGTGGCAGCCCCGTGAGCCGGGCGGGCTTCGCCTGGTGCCCAGCCGGTGGCCGCCAGAGGGAGTTCGCCTGGCGCCCGCCCGTGGCCGCCTCGTGGCCGCCCCGTGCGCTGGGTGCACCACTCAGCTCGCGCCACTTCGCTTGCCCCAGGTTGACTGCATCCCATAGCTTGCACCGCATAGCTGTCATTGCATGGTTCACCGCACCTATGTGTTGCACCACGCACTGGCCATCGCTCGGACGTCCAATCCCTGTGCTTTTTTCGGTTCCGTGCGTGGTTTTTTCGCAGGATGATCCAGGATGCTCCTTAATAATCCCCGCCGAGAAAAAGTGCACACGTCCGAGCGATACCAAGCGCACGGACTGCATCACATAGCTTCCAACGCATAGGCTGAACCGCACAGGTTGCATCACATACCTTGCCCCACACAGGTTCCACAGCATAGCTCGCCCCACATAGATTGCACAACATAGTCCCACCAGCCCTCTGGGCGGAGGTTGTTTAGAACGTTTCCTTTTCCATCATCCCCCCTGCTTCCCCTCCTGGGAGAAATTTACCACTGTTCCTTCTTACTGAACACCCCCTCCCCCACCCGACTGGCGACAAACCAGGGACACTGCCACCCGCCCCCCCCACCACCCCCCAATCCCTTGTAAAATTGATACAACATGAAAATTGCACCAAGATCTAGATCTTGACCGGACGCCCCGCGATCACTTTCCATTGGCGTTTGGCAAAGATGGTGGAGATGTTGACATATTGCATGCTGCGCGCAGTGTCACCACCATCCCACCATCCCCTGAAAAAAAACACAATACTAAGTGCACTCTTCAGCAAAGTCTGGATCATGCGCGGGCGCCCCGCTATCACTTTGCAGTGGTTGATGACAGGGACGGCGGAGGGGCCAGCAGATGACCTGATGTCTGCAATGCCAGCACCCCCAGCATCCCTTGCACAAAACAAGACAAAATGCACTTTACACCGAAATGCGAATCATACGCGGGCGCCCCGCGATCACTCTGCAGCGGTTCTTGACAGGCACGGCGGGGTGGACGCCATATTGCCTGCTGCCTGAAGGCGAGCGATTGCGCGTGCACACACACACACACACACACCACAACAACAACAACAACAACAACAACAACAACAACAACAACAACAACAACAACCACCAAACAACCAAACAACCAAACAACCAAACAACCAAACAACCAAACAACCAAACAATCACAACAACAGCAACAGCAACAACAACAATATCAGCAGCAATAACAACAGCAACAACAACAACAACAGCAACAGTAACAACAGCAAAAACAACAACAACAACAACAACAACAACAACAACAACAACAACAACAACAACAACAACAACAACAACAACAACAATAACAACAGCAATAACAAAAAACACGCGCAATACACAATGTTGGCAAACCCGCCGTCACTTTGTGCTGGTTTTTGACAGGGATGGTGGGGGTCGACATGTCGCCCAATGTGGCACACCTGGCATGTGCAGCGCACCTCGCGGGCGTCGCGCACACGGCTGGCGTTTGCATCGGTTCCCGACGCTTGTCGATGGCGGCCCCGGTGGACGCCGCTGTGACCTGACCACAGCACCACACCAGAGAATATATTAACCAAGCATGGCCGCGAGGATTGCTTGAGTGAGATTGAGGAGGAACAAAATGTCGATGGCGGCCCCTGCCTATGCTGAGACTCGCGTGCTGCCTATGCAGTGGGAGGGCGAGAGGGAGCGAGCGAGACAGCTTGCGGCGCTCCCGCTGGTAACTTGACCCCTCCCCCTACCCTTCGGTCGGGCGTGTCCCCCTACAGGCGGATTTTGGGCGAAAATGAAAAATACTCAAAAAATGCTCCAAAAAAGATCAAAAATAGACCAAATGTCCCTGAACTATTTTTTCACTATTTTTGAATATTCCCCCTGTAGAGACACGCCCGACTCAACCCTATCCCATTCCCCTGGGGCTGGACGCGCGGGGGGGGTGAGGGGGGGGAAGGTCAGGGCGTCCAAAATGGCCTCGACAAGAAAGCCAACAAAAAAAAAATGTCATCGGTGTTGCCTCCAGGATGGCCCCAGCCCTGCGAGGCCCCCAGCAGGCCTCCAAAGAGGCCCAGAGAGGCCCAAAGAGGCCCCATCAGGGGCACCCAAGACGCCCCAAGAGGCCCCCCAAGAGCCACCAAAAGGCCCCAAGACGCCCCAACATACATCTAACAATTCAGGGCGCTCCGCTGGGCACGGTGTCTGGATGGGCTGCTGGGGATACACGAAACGTTGTGAGTGTTCACCGCAATGCTTGCCACGCCTAAACTGCACCACGCGCAGAATGTATCACATAGCGTGCAATGCTAAGCTGGCACCACATACACTGCGCCACATGAGCTGCATCCCACAACTTGCACCACATAGATCCCACAAAACATAGCGTCAGCTTCTTTTACAGATATGTACACACACATACAAGGGTAAAACCACAGTTGTACATGCTGAGTTCGGGCGATCTGCGGCGGGGCGCTGGCATACTGGAGGCGCTCTTCGACACCGCCGGCGATCAAGGCCGACACCCAGCCGCCAGAAGCAGGTCGACAGGCGCGACGCGAGCGGCGTCGCTACAGCGGAGGGCAGCGGCTCCGCTACAGCGGGGAGGTTGGGCCAAAGTGGCAACAGACAAGGGGTGAGAGGAGGGAGGAGGAGGAGGAGGAGGAGGAGGAGAAAGAGGAGGAGGAGGAGGCAGAGGAGGAGGAGGAGGAGGAGGAGAGGAGAGGAGGGGAAAGAAGAGGAGGAGGAGCAGGAGGAGGAGGAGGAGGAGGGGAGGCAGTGAGATCTCCCGCCGCCGCTGCCGCCGCCGCCCCTCCGCTGGCGCGTAGCATCAGGCCCCACGCAACGAAAGGCCCCAGCGGCGACGACGGCGGGCGACGACGGCACCACGAACAAAGGAAGACGGTGCCCAAAGGCGGAGGGACGAAGCCAACGAAACCCCGAGCCTCGAGAGGCGCGCGCTCGCAAGCCCCATGCAGCGGGCAGTGCGCACTGCCTGGCTCAGAACAAGGTCGCTTGCCCCCGGGACACGGCACAGATGCGCCTGCACGGCGCTCACAAATGCAATCAGCTGCACGGTGCAGGCTTGCTCCCGCTCGGAAGCGGCACGTCAAGTCGTCAGCACTGTGCGTGCTCGCCCGTGACGCGATCGCACGCCGTCCCATGCTGCGCGTGATTAGGACAAGGGGTCGAGCCCCTCGACGTGTGTTTTGGACGGAAATGGGTCGCTTCAAAAACAAAGAGCACACGGGCGACGAAAAGAAACGGATCTTACGCGAGATGGCATGGCGAGCTTACGCGGTGGCTCACGCGGGCCGCCAGCGCGGCACGCTACATTGGAGACGAGGGCGCTTGCGCGCGACCTTACGCGGGCAGCGTACGCGCCAATGTCGGCGCAGACGACCCCGCTTTTTGTGCGTCGCCCACACGAGAGCTGGCTGGCTTCCGCAACTGGCGGCGCGCACAGCGGGCCGGGGGCGAGGGGAACGGCCCGGTGGTTTCTCTCTGAGGCCCTCCTGCCCTTCAGGGAGCGCGGACACAAGTTGCCTCGGGAGCCCGCGACCCCTCCCCGAGGACTTGGGGGGCGTATTGGTGCGTGCTTCCGACGCACAACTTTTTGGGGCGCGGCACAGTTCGCCACTCGAGGAGGCCTGCCCCCTTCGTCTTCATCCTGCCATCTTCCGCCCACATCCTCCCACCGAGCGCACCAAGTGCTCATTGGTGGTGCAAAGGTGGGGTCCTGAGGGATGGGGTCGTAAGGACGAGGTGCCTCAAGACCCACCCGGGGAGCCCTTCCTACCCTCAGGACCCCATCCCTCAGGACCCCATCTTTGAACCACCGAATTCACGCACTTGCCCAACACACCCTTCAGACCTCCCCAAAAGACCGCGCGTCAGCCGGCCGGCCGGCCGGAGAGGGGGGAGGCTGCGGGAGCCAGGTCGTTGTCGAAGACGATGAACTCCCTGGCGGACCCGAGCGCGGAGTCTCCCGCGAGAGGGGGGGGGGGGCTCCCGCCCCCCGCGTGCCTCCGGCGGGCTGCTCTCTCTCTCTCTCTGGCCCCAGCGCACGTCTCCTCGGAGGGCCCCAGGCCCATCAAGCTTCCGCCGTGCCTTCTTCCTTCCGCGGCCCCAGAGGTTCCCGACCCCTGCCCTGGGAGGTGTGCTTGCGTCCGGGATCCATCCGGGGAGCGACGAGCGGCACAAAATGGCGGTTCCCCGCCGTCGGGGACGCCTGCATCCCGGGCGGGCTGGAAAGGTGCTGCCCCCACGGTATGCCACGCAGGGGCAGAGCAGCCGCCTGGGGGGCACGCGTCCCCGACGGCGGAAGCGTTGATGTTGTGCCGCTCTTCGCCCGCTAGCATATGTGTGATGGCCCCAGGGTCCGATGACTCCGGGGCGTCCAAAAGGGGGGCGTCCAAGAGGGGGGGGTCGCAGATCATGGCCCACGGCGCGTGCGCGGCCCAGGGGGACGCCAGAGGACGCAGTGCAGCACGAAGAGATGCCATGACGTCCGGAGAGACGCGGACGGAACCAAAGACCTCGCGTGCCAGGGCGATTGGGTGTCGATGCATCCCCCCATGAGTTTATCCCTCCCGATGATCCTCGTGGCCTGATTGCTCGGGTCATAACTCGGGTCTCTGGTGGCTTTTCGGGGCCCCATAGACTTCATAGACGGCCCTAAAGCGCCCAAAGAGGGACTCACGACTGCCAGGAGAGGGCTCCAAGGCGGCCTCCGAAGGCCAAGGGATCCCCTAGAGGCTCCCAGAGGTCCCCTACAGGCTCCCAGAGGCCATACGACGCCCCCAAGAGGCCCCCAAGAGGCCCCCAAGAGGCCCCAAGAGGCTCCAAGAAAGTCCCCAGGAGGCCCCAAAAAGACCTCAAGAGGCCTCCTCTTCTTCCGCCTCCACCTCCTCCTCCTCCTCCTCCTCCTCCTCCTCCTCCTCCTCCTCCTCCTCCTCCTCCTCACTCTCCACATCCTTTCTCTTCCTTTCCCAAGTGTTCCTCCAAGGGATTCAACCACTGCTGGGGGAACAATTAGTCCGATAGCGTGGCCAGACTTCGGCTCAACGTTTGGCCGCGTGAGCGTTTCCACGAGGCAGGAGGCGGTAGTGGGTAGTGATTCAACGTAGGCGTCTTCGATCACCCTTTCCTCACCCCCCTCCTTGCCCTGGGGAGCAGGAAGGGACGCGGCAGCGGTGCGGGGTCCTGTACGTGCCTCTGGCCTTCAGCCGGTCTCCTAAGACCTCGGCGTCCGAGGCCGCGCTCTCCTCTGATTATGCAGCTGCTGCTCCACCTCCTCATCATCGTCGTCATCATCATCAATAACAACGACAACGACAACGACAACGACAACAACAAAAACAACAACGCCAACAACAACAACAACAGCAACAGCAACAGCAACAGCATCAGCAGCATCAGCATCAGCATCATCATCATCATCATCATCATCATCATCATCATCATCATCATCGGCAACAGCATCATCATCATCATCATCATCGTCATCATCAGCAACATCATCATCATCATCATCATCAGCGGCAGCATCAGCATCAGCATCATCATCACCACAATCAGCATCATCATCGTCATCATCATCATCATCAGCATCCTCATCATCATCACCATCATTATCATCATCATCATCATCATCATCATCATCAACACCGTGCTCATCGCCTTCAGCATTGCGATCATCAACCTCAGCATCATCATCAGCATCATCATCAATACCATCAGCATCATCATCATCGTCATCATGATCATCACCATGATCATCACCACCAGCATTACGATCATCATCCTCAGCATCATCATCGTCATTATAATCACAATCATCATCATCATCATCAGCATCATCATCATCATCATCAGCATTCTCATCATCATCATCATCATTATCATCATCATCATCACCATCACCATCACCATCACCATCACCATCATCAGCATCATCAGCATCATCACCATCATCATCACCATCAACATCACCATCACCATCATCAGCATCATTATCATCACAATCATCATCATCAGCGTCATCATCATCATCATCATCATCATCATCATCGGCAACAGCATCATCATCATCGTCATCATCAGCAACATCATCATCATCATCAGCAGCATCAGCATCAGCATCATCATCACCACAATCATCATCATCGTCGTCATCATCATCATCATCAGCATCCTCATCATCATCATCATCATCATCATCATCATCGGCAACAGCATCATCATCATCATCGTCATCATCAGCAACATCATCATCATCAGCAGCATCAGCATCAGCATCATCATCACCAATCATCATCATCGTCATCATCATCATCATCATCAGCATCCTCATCATCATCACCATCATTATCATCATCATCATCATCATCAACACCGTGCTCATCGCCTTCAGCATTGCGATCATCAACCTCAGCATCATCATCAGCACCATCATGAATACCATCAGCATCATCATCATCGTCATCATGATCATCACCATGATCATCACCACCAGCATTACGATCATCAGCCTCAGCATCATCATCGTCATTATAATCACAATCATCATCATCATCATCAGCATCATCATCATCAGCATTATCATCATCATCATCATCATCACCATCACCATCACCATCACCATCACCATCATCAGCATCATCAGCATCATCACCATCATCATCACCATCAATATCACCATCACCATCATCAGCATCATTATCATCACAATCATCATCATCAGCGTCATCGTCATCATCATCAGCATCATCAACACCACGATCATCACCTTCAGCATTGCGATCATCAGCCTCAGCATCATCGTCAGCATTATCATCATCCCCAGCATCATCATTATCTTCATCATCAGCGTCATGGTCATCATCATCATCACCACCACCACTACTCTCAAAATCATGATCATCGCAACTATCAGCACGGGCATCATCATGATTTCGATCACCATCATCATAATCACTATGAGCAGTATAATCAGAATCACGGTAATTAACATCGTCACCATAATCATCTCAATCATCATCACCACCGCGATCATCATACTCATTATCATTCTAGTATAAGAATCGTCGTCGGCAGCGTCATCACCGTCACCATGATCCACCTCATCGGCTTCAACCCTATTGCAATCATTCATCATCATCACCCTCACCAGCACAATGCTCATAGTCGCAGCAGTCACCGTCGGCATCTTCACCATCATCATTCCGAGCTCCATCCCTCACTCTCTCTCTCTCTCTCTCTACCTGCATTCCCATTCTCCCTCCCTCGATCCTTCCCTTCATCCTTGCCCCCCCCCCTCCTCCTCGTCCTCCCCCTTCTCTCTCCCTTCTCCTCCTCCTCCTCCTCCTCCTCCTCCTCCTCCTCTTCCTCCTCCTCATGCTCCTCCGACTGCCCCTCATCATCCACCTCCTCGTCCTTTTCCGCACCCCACTCGTTACCCTTCTCCTAAGCCTCCCACGACTCCTCTTCATCATCCTCCTCAATATTCACCCTTCATCCTCCCCTCCAACCTGCACACACACACACACACACACACACACTCACACACGAAAACACTACACCACACCGCACCACATCACATGCACCAGGTCCCCCGCCCCCTCACGCCCTCCTACACCTTTTCCTCCTCCTCCTCCTCCTCCTCCTCCTCCTCCTCCTCTTCCTCCTCCACCTCCTCACCCTCCTCTCCTCCTGATCCTCCTCCTATCATCATCCTGCTGTCGTCGTGCCATATTGTCATTATTCCTGCTCCCGCTGCCTTCCGCATCCTTCTGCCTTCCCCCTATTCCTTCGCGTTCGGCCTTTCTAGTCCTCCTCCTCCGCCGCCGTTCCGCCTGCTCCTCATCATCATTTATTCCTCCTCTTCATCCTTATCCTCAACCTCCTCCTCTCTCTTCTGTCCTGTTCCTCATCCGCCCTCTGAGTATCGTCATTGGAGAAAAAGGAAGACAACAGAGCAGCGGAAAAGAGGCGAAACTGCTTAAAGCGAGTGTCAATCTACAAGCGTCAAGTGCGTACGACACATGCATGCTGCACGCGCTGATAAGCATTGATCCCACCACGAACGCATCAAAGCATCCTCAAGCAAGCATGACTAGACACATCAATATCATACTAATCGTCGCTTCCGCCTGACTGTTTCTCTGCTGCTGGCTTGCATCAGACATCCCGGACACTGTGATGTGTCCGGGACGGCCCAGTGCACTTGGCATAGATGTCATCGTGGTCTGGATTCACTTGGTCAGTGTAGTACCTCTTCAAGGGTCGAGTGTTTTCCAAGCAAGATCTTCAAAGCTGCTGCGAACAGAAAGCAATCACAAGCACACAGGATAGAAGCGTCGCTGTAGTGTGAATGCTCGACGGACAGACGAAGCAACGCGTCGATGGATTGTGAATGCTCGACGGATAGACGAAGCAAAGCCTTGGAGATGACACGTACCTCAGTTCCCCCTGGCGGGGTGAGGCTTGGTAGAATACTAAGTGTTGGCTGCCTAGTGGGGTTATGGTTAGGTCGGACTATTCTTGAACACTCCTCCTGTAGAGCGTCCCGAGACAATTGTTGGATTATTATTGAACACTCCTCCTGTAGAGGGACATGCCCGATTTAAGGTGACGCATGTCTTCTAAGGGATCTCCCCCTCCCCGCACTTCGTCGCGTGCACCGTCCCCCTCACGAGGCTCTACGAAAGCCACCAAGAGCGCCCAGATAACCCCACATTGCTTCAAGAGACAACCAAAAGCCCAAACAAGAACCCGGGATGCGCGAAAATGAACCCAAGAGGCTCCCAAGATGCGAACGAAAAGGCCAAGATACCCTCGGGAAACGCCACACAATCATTCAGAAAGCAATAGGAATCCGTAGGTTTTTGCATATATTGCGATTTATGGCCTATCGGCCCAAGATGGTCCAAGA